CAGGCTGGTCTAGAACTCCTGAGCTTGAGCGATCCACCCGCCTCGGCCTCCCAGAGTGCTAGGATTACAGGCGTGAGCCACCGCGCCCGGCCATTCATCAATGACATTCTTAAGTAAAACTCTTTTGTAGTTTTTTTTTTTTAACTACAACTGGGGAGTGATACGAATACGATTTCTAGTAGAGTCTGGTATGACGATCTTGATTCAGGGTAAGGTATCAGTAATTTTATCAACCATGGGTTTTTGCACAATCCGGTGTCAACACAGTAAAAACAGCAAGTACCTTCTTAGTATTAATATGAAAATAGTTTTGACTTCAGAGACCCTTGGGGTCTCCCACAGTTTGAAAACCACTGTCTTGAGTGGTAGCTATTATTTTTACAGGAGGCACCAGCTTTGGGGTCAAACAGACCCAGGTCTGAATCCATAAAACCTTGCTCAAGTACGCAAAGCCTCAGTTTCCTTGTGTGTACAATGGAGAATATTACCACTTACCTTCAGTGTTCTCCGGGGGATTATCATGAGTTAATGCATATACAACTGTTAAGCACAGTGCCTGGCCCAAAGTAAACGCTCAAATTATAAAACAATAAGAAAAAACACATTACTGTTTCAAGGGAGAAAGGTAGGAAGAAAATAAAGAGATCTGAAAATAAAACTCACTGAATCCTTACAAAGGCATATGCCAGAAATCATCAAACATTCACATCCAAAATAACCGTTCTGAAATCAAAGGTCAAGAGAAGAGAATAGGATAAACATAAAATAAAATTCAGACAAATAATGAAAACATGACAGAGCCTTAATGGAGGAAACCAAGTATTTCAAAACACAGCAGAAAGGGGTTGAGGGGGGAACGTTGCAAAAAGACAGTAAAGAAGTAAACAGAGTATCAGATTTGAAGAAAGTAAAAAGGTATCTCTCCAACGTCTAAAGTACAATGGGAAAAATGCACTCACTAAAACTCAATTTGCCACAAATTCCAAGTTCTACAAGGCTAACAATAACAAGGACTTACCAACGTAAGCTCCTAATTCTTGCAATTTCCCCTTAATGGCACTCTGAGAGGAAAAAAGCAAAGGTGCAGGTGAGAAAGTCGGTTCTAGCAAAACAAGACAAACTGCAGCGCAAAGGCAACTTTGCTGGTGCCCGCACCTTCCGCCCCCCGCTAGGCGTCTCGGGTGGGGGCGGGGAGGAGCCTCGACCCCTCCCCCCCAACTCCCGGCCCCCGCGGCGGCTGCCTCCTGCTGCCCACTGAGCCGCTCACTGCGCCGCGGTGTGTGGCCCTCCCCCGGCCTGTACGCGTCCTTCCGTTTCCCCGCGGCTACTTCTTCAGCCGCAACCCCGCTCGCCCGCCGCGCTTTGAGGCCGCGTCTGCGCCCAGGCCCCAGACGGTCTGGGAGAGGAAGAGCCGCTCACCGGCACCGCAACCCTTCGAGGAACGCCAGGCGGCAGCCAGGCCGCGGCGTTCACCCGGGCCCACTGTCCCCGTTACTCCTGACAACCGCCCGCCCGCCCGCCTGCAGAGGCCCAGCTTTCCGCCCCTGTCCAGCGCCAACCGACGCAGGCCTCACCCGGATCTTGCGGCTGATCTCGGTACCGATCTCCATGGTTCTGCGACAGGCGCAGCACAGCGTGGCGCTCCGTTTACCTCAGGGCCTGCCGGGGCCTTCTAACCCGCAGCCGGGCCTCCGCCGCCTCCTCCGCTGCTCCCGCCGCTCCGCCCCTGGCCGCGCGCACTGCGTGTCCCCGCCCCCGCCGGACCCGCGCGCCGTAGTGAACGCGCATGCGCATGCGCATGTGCACGCCTGGGTCCGCAGAGCCTGCGCTCTGTCGACCTCTGCTGGCGCCGAAGAGGGCTACAGGGTGCGGGGATGGGGGGCGGCCTCTCTCCGCCTCTCCAGACCCTGGACAGCCTTCCGTCTTCCCTTTCCTGGCCCTCCGCTTATTCATTTTACTCTCCTTTGGATAATAAGAATGAATTAAATCTGTAGCGGGAAGATCCAGGATTTCGTAAGATCCGAGTTCAAATCCAACCTTTAGTTACTAGTATTATGGTATTGGTCCAGGTATTTCAACTCTTGAAGCTTCCGTTTTCTTACCTGTAAAATAGAGACTGCCTCCTAGAGGTTGCACTATAATTACACTTGGAGGGAAAAGGGGACCATCCAGAACAACAGAACCAATCCATCAAGTCCTCTCTTTGGCTGTACAGCTATCCTGGTTCTCCTGGGTTTGGTTCGGCTCTCCTTTCCCCAGGCCCGCCAGTGGCCTTCCAGAAGACTAATCCCCATCCTGCTCTTCTCTGAACTCCCTCCTTTGTACAACTGTTTCGTTCTCAAGACTTCAGTTGTCACCTCTATGCTGACAATGACCGAATTTTCTGTTGGCCCTGAGTTCTCACCTAAACCACACTCCCAAATTCTCATCTTTGCCATATTCATTAGCTAGAAGCAGTCCACACTGGAGGGGTGAGGGGAGAGAGGTTATACAGAGTATGAACAGCAGGAGTCATGGGGCTACCCAAAGTCTGTCACATGGTCCTTTAATAATCTCATAATCCTTCCTTCTGAATTCCTATGGCATCTATATGGGAACTACAAGCATGATTTTATACTCTCCACACTTGATCTTAGCCAAAGGCCCAGAAGCGATTACATGACAATATACTCTTTGTGATGCTATTTCATGTGTTCCCATGTATGTCCTCCCTAACAAAATTGTAAACTCTCTGTAGGTCTTTATATTTCTCCAAATTTTCTTTCCGAATGCTAGACACATAGTAAGCACTTATTAAATATGTATAGGGTAAAAGAAACTAAAGACCTAGTTTACAAAAGCATTCCTTAAAGATAATCCAATTATCATGCAGTCATTCAACATTGATGAGAGGCAGCAGTGCAGGGCGACTGAGAACAAGGACCCTGGAGCCAGAAAGCGTGGGTTTGAATCCTGGCTCTGCCACTCCCTCTGAGACCTTAGGCGAATTTCTTAGTCTCTTTGGGCCTCAGTGTCCTCATCTGTGACATAGGTATGATACTAGTTTTTCCTGCAAAGGGTTATTATGAAGATGAAATAAGTTGATATATGTGAGAAGCATTTTGGACTGTGCCTGGCTCATAGCAGTATTATGTTTGTTGATTATAAATGAAATGCCTACAATGAGCCAGATAACTGTGCTAGGAGCCAGAGCACAAAGATGAGCAAGTCTGAGTCCCTGCTTTCATGACACAATCCAACTGACAGATAAACAATTTCAATTCCTTTACCCACTATTTCAAAACTAAGAACAAAAGCATGTTTTACCATTACTGGGTACAAAATTCTCAGTCAATGTTTAGATAATATTGAAAGAACATTTTATTAAAAATAGAGAATGTTTTCATAAAAATGTATTCAAGAAAGGGCTAACTTTTAGGACAATGAGCTTACTACTGTGGAAAAGGCTGCCTGAGAACTCTGCGCCTTTAGATCTCAGAAGTTACAGTGTGTGGGTCACAGAGGGGGCAACCCCACTAAAGCAATGGTATTTGGTGGTCTGGCACAGTTCTAGATGTCTCCCTGTAAACTGCAGCTTCATAAACCATATCACATCTCAAGGATGGTGTTGACAGTGATGCCCTAAGGAAACCGTTAAAGGGAGTAGGAGTATTAGGCTGGAAAAAGATTAACTGGACAATGATAGTTTTTTCCCCAGCTTGGAAGGATTCTTTGGTCCAAGGGGAATGACATATTTTCCTCTAGGAGATAGTATGAAGACCAGATTTCAATGAACCACAGTGCCAGCTAAGAGGGCTCTGAGGTGTCTTCCAAAAAGAGAAGGTGACTGAAAAGAGCATTGGTTTTAAAGTCAAAGGGGCCTGAGTACCAGCCCCTACTCCATGGAGCCATGAGTCCTCTAACATTGGCCCCTGTGGTGTCTCCAGTCTCTTCTTAGAGCTGCATTTCAGCTGGATGTTGCATATCTTCTGCAAGAGTGGGTGAGTGAGTGTGTGTGTGTGTGTGTGTGTGTGTGTGTGTACGTGTGTATAGAAGTGAGGGCGGAGGATGGAAGAGATTTCCTCCAGCCTGGAATGCTTGCTTTCCTTTTGTTTTCCCTTTTTTTTTAAAATAAAAAATCTTTTATTTGTCCTTCCATACTCAAGCAGAAGTTGACCATGGTGATTAATCAGGCATTGCCAATCCATTTAGATTATACAGTATATCCATGTGTAAATTTCCTCACCTACTACAATTATATATTCATATGTTGTTTGCCTGGTAAGTCTTTGAGGACAGGGGTATGCATCCATTCACCTTTTTTCCTACAGCACCTAGCTTCCAATACACGTGGGATCAATGAACGAGTGTTCATTCATAGTGATATCACATGGCATGTCTGCACATAAATCAAAATCCCTAAGCATTGGGAATTACAGTTTGTGAACTAAAAATAAAATCCTGAGCCCTCTGCTAACTGAATGGACCTCTCTTGGCCAACAGGACCCCAGAAATACCTTAAAACTGAGTTTCCAACCACAACAGGATGGGAGAGAGAAAGCACAATAATATGTGTATGATTTCCCTTCATAAATATTCATGACTCCTCCTATAGCTTGTTAAATATGAATATTTGCCCACCCCGCTCACACTCAGTATAAAATCCTGTTCCCCTTTGTCTCTTCTTTGAAGTACATATGCCTGGCTTCTGGCCAGCTTCCCAACCTGTTGGAATGGCCACCCAACAGGTTGCTACCTTTTATGAAATATAAAGCTCTCCTTTTTCCAAAGTATAAACCTAATTATTTATTTTTTTTAGTTAACAAGTTATAGCATTCACTTTTGCTACCGAAGCTGACATGCTTCTCTATTTTTTTGTTAATTTGAACAAATACTTTGCCAACATCATTCTTTCTCTGATGTTCAGGGGAACGTGTGCACAAAATTCTCACTCTTTGGCAACTGAAGAGGTGTTGCACCTGGTGTGGTGTTGAGTGTGGTAGACAGAGCTCAGGGTGAGGATTCAGAGACCAAAGGAGATTTTGCCCGTCTAGTGCTGGCCCTCACAGCCCCCTTACCCTGGGGATCATTATCTTTGTGGGGTGGAGCATTCATTCAATTTGGATTCTTGCAGAGAATGATAATTTGTACAGTAGATATTCAGCATGCTGTCAAAGCAGATTTTTTTTTTTTGAAAAAAAAGCCCCGCCCGGCCCCCCGGCCAAAAGGCAAGGGCCGCAACAAAACCCAACCCAAACCCAAAACCCCGGGCCCAAAGGAACCCCCCGCCCCAACCCCCCCTAGTAGCTGGGACTACAGGCAAGGCGCACACCACGACACCCAACTAATTTTTCTATTTTTAGTAGAGATGGGGTCTTGCTCTTGCTCAGGCTGGTGTTGAACTCCTGAGCTCAAGCAATCCTCCTGCCTCGGCCTCCCAGAGTGCTAGGATTGCAGGCGTGGGCCAGCGCCCAGCCAAAACAGATTAATTTTTTAACTCCTAAGAAAACACTAGTCAACACACCACCCAAACCACAATTCAGTCCCTTTTTACTTTTTTATCTTTCATCGCCTTATGTGCAGGCTTCCTTTTTAAAATTTTATTTATTTTAGAAAGAATTGCTTTCCACTGTGTAAGTATGTATAATATGCCACCTTCTGGGTAACTAGAGGAGGTAAAGATGCACACACGTAGTTGCTTATATCTGTATAGAATATTTCTATAAACATACATAGAAATGAGGTTACACTGGCTATCCCCAGAAGAGCTGTCTAGTAGGCAGGGTGGGAAGGGGATTTATCACTTATACCCTTTTGTATCTTTGGGGGTTGAACCATATAAATTATCTCACTTCCTTACATATGAAACATAAGCTAATAATAATTTTATGTTTAACACTTTAAAGGGGTTATTCAAGTGCCTTGCTATGGGGATGTTACTACCAAATTAACTTGGATGAGGGAAAATAGGGCTTAAGTACTTGGTCAGTAAATAACATCTGTGGACTGTGAGAGAGGAAGTTCAACTCAGTTGTCTAACATCTCTTGGGTTTTATGATCATTTTCTATTTTTAAAATTCTTTTATTTTCTTCCCGATTCAATTAACACGTTTTTATTTAGTACCTACTCTCTGCCCAGTACTGTCCTAGGAATTCTAGGAGATATAAAAGAAGCCTTCATGAAACAACTTTGAACGTTCTTGCCAAGTGTAGACATCACCGTGGAATGAGGTAACTAGAAAGTTGTCTTGGAAGCAGAGTCTTAAATTGAGACTTGGAAAGAAGCAGAAGGCTTAGACAAATGGAAGAGGGGCAGGCAGTGTTGCTGGCCAGGGACAACAGCTCAAGGGGGCAGAGTGGATGCTGGAGAGAAGAGAGCAATAAGGGTGGTCAGAGAGGCCCGTTTGGAAAGTCCCTAAAGGTCAGGCAGAAAAGCTTAACCTTGGAAGTCCACCAGGAGTGATAAACACAGGAGAGAAGTAAGCCTGGTATTACCATAGAAAGAAAATTGGGCAACCAGATGCAAGGAGACCACCCCTGTTGCAATAATCCAGATGTAAAATGATGAGGATTTGGATATAGAATGTACCAGAGGGAACAGAAAGGAAAAGAAACAATTGGTGAGACATTTCAAAGGAGGAAATATCAGGCCTTGATGACAGGCTGGAGATGAGAAAGGAAGAGGCACACATAATTTCAATTTGTCTAGCGTGGGAGGCCAAAGTGACTTATTTTCAGATCTCTTTTCTTTCCTCACACACTAATTGAGCCCCTCAGAGTTCAGTTGAAATGTCAATCATAAACAGG